GAACGAAGGCTTTTCTCCTGAACGAAGGCTTTTCGCGACGAATCCGATGATCTCGTGTCCTTAGACACGCCCCATTATAGTTTTCCTCTGTGGCATCATCGGGACGGGAAAGGCATTCTCGCTCGCGATCTCATCGATGAAAAGAGTAACCCTTTACGACCAGTGAATATTACGCGTCCGACCTAGATTTTGTGAGCACGTTCATCTATCATCCCGTCGACCGCGGATTCGTTATTGAACCTAGGATCATTGTCATTAGTTTCTCGAGTACCTAACTACCACGGTTATTTGTCCGGTTCTATAATAATCGTATTTGCACTAGTCAATGTCTTCTCTATTGCATAACGACAACGTGTAACCCAAGTGAAGATTCGTTTCACGCCCCTAACCCTAATTCTAATGTAAACCCGACATATGTATGTATTTAATAAAAATTCTATAAGAGTAGAAAATAACATATTTTAATGTAGACGATATTCAAAATGATGTTTATCGGTTGCAATATAATTGCATAGACGACAAATTAATCACTGTTAAATAAAATTGGACTGTTATTTTCCTTTAATGTTTCTTTGATTTTGCTGGAAAAAAATATTTTCACAAAATCTTACTATACATAATCATCTTATAGTTCTCTTTCAGCCGTGTTATACCTACCAGACAAAAGAGTTTTCGAGCGATCCACTAACAACAGAATAATCTGAGCTGATCGCGTTTCGTGGATCATCCTGTATATTCCATTTGTTAAATGTCACAAATATAACCGTTCACATATTTTTTTGTACCTGTGTAAGTAAGTATTTGTATTTCTACATTCCGTTATGGAATAATTACGTAATTCGTAATGTGAAATTCTTAAACAAATAAATTCATTTTCAATAAATATTTACTTTTATACGCATTTTGCAATGGTACAATAGCAGGAAACGTTCAATTTCTACAAAACTACCATTTCCCTAATGAGTAAAAGCAAGATATACAATAATACAAAGATTCAAAGTCGCTTCCCTATGTAGCATCATAAATAAATGGCCACAAATGTAAATACATATCGAGAAACATGTATACATAGCTTGAAATATATCAATAGTTCTGAAAGTAATAAATTTAATAAAAATGTACTCTGACTGACATGGTACATCATTCAATTTCAATTATAACTATCTAACTGTTTACTTCGCTATTTAACATAATAATCAAAAGACTATTACCACGGGCGAGATGCCTACCATCCTGAGTTTATAGTGTTAATTGGATGTTGATATGTCTATTTTCTTAAAATTCGTTAGATGATCATACTGCTGAATGTAATTCGTCTATTTCGACGAAATTTATAACGAAGATCCAAAGAAACAGTTGCCTTAAACATTTTTTGGAAAAAGATCATTCAGTAAAAAGTAAGTTTTGTTCAAATGGAAGCCAATATTAGCCAAAATCTTTTAACGAAGGATATTAACTCTCATACCACAACTTCAAAATTTATCGTATAATACTTATGATGTCTGAATCATAGCCTTTGTTCTAACAAAAAAAAAATAATTTCAACATAGACAATCAGAAATGTCGTTGAAATCTTGCAAAATGTAGATGATAAAAAGAAGTTTACAGAGTCCATCCAGATTCCAACCTAGATCAGAACAAAGTATGATTTAATAAAAAATATAAAAAATAAAATCTATGTTAAATTAATTTTATGGGTGGAAATAGTATTCCCCATCTGAGATAAATGTCAAACGAACATTTATTATTTTATATGTAGATATTTTTATTACCTTCTTTTAAACATCATCGATCAACGAAGCTTTTAATTTGTTTGCTACTAAACTATTTTACTCTACAATTATTACTTTTTTAATATTTGAGATTGTTAATAACGACAAAGGAAAGCACATTTACATATTTACATATTATTAAATTTATTTTATTAAAATAGTCTTAATTTAAGGACTTAATCGTTTGTTTTTATACTACATGTAGAACGTGTCTCAACAATATTTATTTTTTATTTACTTCATTTCCGAAATTTTCTATCATAATTATCTCGCCGTTCGATTTGCTGATTCAAAGGTTGCTGTTGCCCCTTTTGAGCTGCTTCACGCGCATCTGCTTCCTGGAATATAATAATAATATAATAATAATGCTATTACTCTCAACTCGCTATACCAACTAATTACAAGACATATAACTTTACTCTAAATTAGAAATTGAAAAAAATATATTTGCGTTATGTTTCCTTATTCGCGACGTTTCAATATTATTATGTATGATTACGTCCTCTTACGTGTACTCGCTATATAGGATATTATGTAATTGGTAGTATTACTGGGAAGAAAGTTCTGCGATTTAGTTCTACGATTTCGTAATTCTACATGAAAAAGTAAATCGAGGACACAGAATAAGATTTTGTTATACGAGGTATTCTTCTCGAAATAATCAATACCTCGTACATGCCTTTACTTTCTCATTTCATTTAACACTCAACGTGATAAACTAATTGAGAAAGCTTATGTTTGCAAATTACGATATTGAAGATATATAGTCTGGCATGCAGTAACGATATTTAATGTTTATTCAAGTGATATTTGTTTCGTGTTTCATGTGCTTGAGAATCGTATAAACCCGCGTTATGAAAGTATTTCTAAATCTATTTCTATACAATAGGCTTGGATATACGCATATTATCTCATCTGCTAAACTAATAATTCGTATAATTAACATATGCACTCTTGTTAAATATTTCTTTCGAATAAGAATGAAGATAAAGAGAAAAAGATGTATCGGATATTGGAATACACGGAGACGCGTCAGAGCGAATAGAGAAAAGAATCAGAAAGTGAAAAAAGGAAAAATCGTGGGACGTGTACCTCTTGCTGACGAATGCCTGCAAAGATGAGGTCGAGGCCTTTCTGAATCTCTTCGCTGACTGGCGGTGGCGTGGGAATGTGATCTCCGGTCGCGTGAAAGCCAGTCTCGTCGGCCGTATAATGGATGGTGATCAGCTTCCCTTCGGGACTCGTGTATGAGAAGCTTCCTTGTTGGACCAACGCTTCTCCTTGTTCCTCGCCTTCGCCTACTTTCTTAATGTAACCGCTCTCCTCAGCGATAATATTGTTTCCCGTTTCATAGCTATGAATAATTTATTCACATCAGATTTCAAATCACATTCTTTTGGATTACACCTCCTCTTAAAATGCATATCCGTCGTTATTGTTTTGTGTTGAAATAGAGCTTTCACTTACGAATACATTTTTAAATCTCTATTCTACTGTACTGTAAGAAAATAAATAACTAATATACATATATAAAAATTGTTACTTTTGTCGAGAGTGCTACAAACTAACCAAATTTCGATTCATAGAGTCTATATCTTGAACTCGATTTAATCGTCAAACTATATTATACACATAGATGATTATACGTCATTTAAACGGTTCACTTCAAATTTATTATTTCAAAATTGCAAATATTAATTCAAATTATTTTCGTATCACGTTGTAAATATGTTATCGTAAAATTTACACATACACAAGCTTAAAGATTGCGATAAATTTAGATTCTTTATTCTTATTATACATATTTCGTATGTATTTAGTGCATCATACATGTATCATACATGTTATATGCAATAATATATCTCTTTAAATGTAGAATGAAAAATGCTTACATAATTAATGAAGGGTGAAAGTGAAAATCTTAATTGAAGTAAAACCTTTTCCAACTTGTATGCATACGGAGATAATATCGTATTTAATGTCACTTCGAACTGTAATTATTTAAACATTACTCAATAATAAACATTTAATTATTATTGCGTAGAATACTCAATCCGAAATTGTCTAATTTTAAATAACTAGTACCGAATACAGGAAAGTAGAAATGAAATATTTCTTCAAGTTGCACAAGCAAGTTCAAATACATTTCACAATTTTGCTAAATGTAATTATTTTTACTATAGTATAACTATTTTACTAAGCATAATATTCAGTATAATAAAATATAAATAAAACGTACTACGTAAAAAGGTATCATACAATACTTTATCATTTCTATTATTTATTTAACTTTCAACGTTTTATTGATTTATAAGTTTCGTAAAGTATTTCAAGTATAATCGTAAATAAAAGAAATAATCATAAAACGTAAGATAATAAAAATAATGCAAGGAAGTAATAATTTAATAAATCTAAATTATGTAAATTTCATTGTATTTGTGCGTTACTAAACGCCATTACTATTTTATTACTATTAATATTTTATTTTTGTTTTATTTATTTATTTTGTTTATGTTTTATTTATTTTGTTTTATTACTATTAAAATACATTAAACATCAACAAAAACTATAACGAAATTGAAAGAGATTCTTCTATGTCGAACACACACATATGTATAAGTATTTTCTATTTTAAACTGCAGATTTAAATGCATATGCTTGGAGTTGTATGCAATAAACGAACAACATATAACTCATCGACACAAGAAGGTAATTAACAATTGTGATACCTAGCTTTATAAGTTCCATCGTGCTCTTGCTGTTTATTCCAATGTAAAATTGGAATAGGCGTGGTCGTCAATGGACCCCTTCTTTCGTCAGTCGGAGGATTCGATCTATCCTCGTGGTAATTGTTACGAGCATTGTAATTTGAATCTTGCGCTGCTGCTAATCCCACAACTATCGCTATTACCTAACGAAGAGAATCTTTAGTTAGTCAACCTAGTCAACGTAACTATATTTAGCTCTCTTATATTTAACAAATGTCATATTGTCTATCGAAAGACGAAGCATTGATAAAAATGGTAGTCCGTGATCGTCACCATCCACGTAGTGTTAGTGAGATGAGTGAAAGTAAGATGCCAATGCGGGTCATTTAACTCCTGACCTACGACGGGTTTGCGGACTCGTCGTCGATTTCGTTTGCTTGGTATTCTTCACAGTTGCTCGTGTTGTAACACAGATTAAAGATCATCCTACTTGTAACTCGAATTTTCAAAAATAATATATACGTTACTTTCGCATGCAAAATGCATACTATAAATATAATAACTTTATGGAAGAGAAACGACGCGGCGACTCAAAATGCATTTGCTTTTTGCTACTAGTGATTCACGTTTCTAATATAAGTTATTATTTGATTTAATAGTAGGCGCTATTATTCTTTCGTTAGTTAAGTGCCGATTTCTGATAATATCAATTGATATTTTCGTCAATTTAAAAAATACGTGACCGTAACTCGGACGATCAATAACAGTTTAAAAATCTGGCGATTCAACTAACGAAGGATTCGTATTGGTTGATCACCGAACATCGATCATCGATAATGAGAATTTTAGCACTACAATTTCGTTTAACATTAACGACAACATATTTTAATGACAAGATATATTGACAAGACAAATTATGTTGTACGAACACCATTTAAAAAAGAACATTGTTAATAAAAATATTTCAGCTGTATTATATTGGTTTAGAGTTATACAGAACGTAAACGAGTGCAAACGTAAAAATTAAAAAAAAGAACGTAAAAAATTACTTACAATTGTTTTCATCTTGATAAAGGAAACACTTTTGAATGAAGAAGATGAGTACTATTACATCCAATCGTTTATGATCCTAAGGAAATAAGGAATTCACCTTTTATACTCTCACCTCATCCCCACTCAACAAGTGATGGATCTCTAAAGATGTTCCACGTAGTTTGTAACAACGATCTTTACATACATGCTATCTTATGCATGTGTGTAACGATACCATTTATTACCGTTTTACGCACCCCTTTAACCACTCCGTCCTTGTCCCTTTTTGCAAGGAAAATCAGAATAATCACCAGTACTATTAAAATATTAATTAATTATAAATTTCTATCATTTGGATAGATAAAATTTATGTCTATTATTACAGTTACATACATGAAAGTTACATCAAATAATGTTTCCCCTTTATCATTTGTATTTTATTTATATTATATCTATAATTTAAATAATTGTCTCGGTACAAAATAAGTATTATAGCAATGTTAGCGACGTTAATATCTGCTTTTTGTATCTAAGACATATCTTTTTAAGACATAATTACAACGTTAATTTTTAATATTAAACATATATATATCTTATTATTACTACTTACTGGAAATTTTTTATAATGTAATTGCATACAGACAAAGATTTCACTTCTTGAGAAAAATTTGGAGCAAGGATGTTGCGATAACAATAATGTAACAATTTGAGATTATGCGCTTAGTAGTATTTAAATTTCAGCCTATTGCGTCATATGTACAGTCACGACTATCTAACCCGTTTCTAAAGCGTAAATCAATAGAAATTGAATTGCTTATCGGCTAAAATTAATATCCTAAATAAAATAAATAATTATAGATGAAAATTTTTAAAAAATAATTTTCAATGAATTACGGCTAATCATATGCGTCGAACATTGTAATTAAGCATCTCGAAAATTTTGCACTTTTATTGCCTCTATGTACTATTAAATTAGTGATGATTCTAGGAGTGATACAAAAGTCATTGTCCGTACATGTCGGAGATGAAAGAACATCGGGATTTCCCGTCCGGAATGTTGGGAAACATCATCTCCGACATACATATATATACTTTAGCATAAATAATGTTTCTAGTTTTGAAACTATGACAGAGTGTCTCGGGAGAAGGATATTTTATTGAATACACTGCGTCGAATGTCTAAAATGAATTTCATCTAAGTTTCACATTTTCTAAAGCTTCAGTGTAAATTTAACTTTTTCAAATAGAATGCGCCATGATTTTTTAATTATCTTACAATCTCATAAATGATGCAAATTTTTAAGAAAATTTATACGTAATATATATCATATGTTATACATATATATTACACACACACACACACACGTATATATATATGTGATGTATGTATCATCTCACGAATACCTTCCCCTAGCTAGCCTTATTTGCAGTATTTAAAAAGAACGGAACAGTGCCTGCCGTGCATAATAAAAGTTTGTGTTCAAACAAAATACGAATAATAAAATAAAATAGAGTACAATATACAGAAATAGTTACTATTTTTTACTTCCAGGGGGGGGGGGGCGTATCCTCTGACGGAGCCTGTGACTCTACTACTGATAAAGGATGTTAAAACAAGGATGTACAAAAAAAAGAAAAGGGAAGTTTACTAACACGTCCGTGCAATTAACGATCGACGAACAGTCTGGCTCTAATTTCGCGTATGGATATTGTAATTAAATTTAATAAGAGCTACGTGATTTAAAGAATATTGAAAATAATATAACGTAGCAAACATTGACTTTACTGGCCACGTTACGTAATTACAAAGATTCTCTAAAATTAAAAAAAGCGTATTGGAAGAAGTGGATGAGGAAAGTAGAAAAAGAATATTTTACATATTCTTCTTCCTTTCTCTATCGAGTATTTGTTCGAAAATATAGTTTTTAGTAATATATATCAACATGTGTTATAGGAATAGAAAATGTTTGTGTAAGAAAATGTATCTTAGAATCAATGTCAATGTTATCAAACGGCTGTCTCCGTATCGGCCCACACGCCTTACTGAGGATGTCTGGAATGGACGTGTATTATGCCATGTAAAGGCATCCACGTGCAAGATTATATAAACAGGTCTCGACACTCATATACCGAAGCATAGGGGAAATCGTCTGAAAACTGAGTCGGAACTAGTTGCAAAAAATCAACATGAAAGAGAAGAAGGTTCTTGTTCTTCGCATGCCTAAGATGCTATGAATGTCTGATACAGAGACAGAGGCACTCTATCCCTGTCGATTTCGTAAGAACGAGAACTTTCTTGTCTCCCATGTTAATTTTTTACAACTCAATTTTCCGAAGATTTTCCCTAGCGAGTGTCGAGACCTGTTTATATGATCGTGCCTACGCGGAGGATCAAAGGGACGAGATCACGGAGGATGGCAAGGAGACCGTTTCCTTCACCAGTCCTTTCCAAAACGGCGAACGAGTCGTATCATTTTGTATTCGTCGACTATCGTGGCTGTAGTAAAATAGATCATATATTTACTTTCGATTATATATGTTTCTTACATTTGCAGGTAATTAAAATTCGTAAACATTTTGTTCCAATTTGTTCATACAAGTTTAATGACGATATTAATAGAAAAAATTCGTGACTGAAATATAACGGGATATGGAAGTTGCATGAATATAATAAAAATTTCATCTATATTATTCACTATTAATAAACCATATAATTGTTTATAATTTAATCATATTACATATTAGTTGAATACCTTTTACGTGTAAATCAATAAAAAACTGATATAACTGCATACGTATGTTACTGTTGACTCCTCTATAGAGAAAATGCACGTGTCAAGGCTGACGCATTTTCAAGAGTATTGTATGAGTCCATAGCCGGAACCATAAATGTGTCATCAAGGTTCAGACTTAGGTAGTGACTTTAGATGATAATACTCTAGCAGACTGAATCTTAACTGTACACCACGGCGGCCGGTATAATGAGATCTGAACTAAACTCTATGAAATACGATATCTAATATTGGTGATATTTTTCAGTATATGTAGGTATATATCAATCATATATATCATACATACCACATCAAGAATTCATGATCCTTCCCGCAAATTCGTTCAATTTTGCATCCATCAGTTTCTACGATTATTCCAAGACGACCGACGACGTATTTGCCCATCGAGGGCTATACATTCGGCTACAGGTGTAAAAAAAATTGAAGAGGTGATCCATCGAGCTAAAATACAATGAAAATCAAGAATGAAGAAATTGCGCTTTTGGCGTCGTTTTTTAGTTATTGACAATTAAGTATTAGCCGAAATATCCCTGTGCGCGACTGATCCTTCTTACACGAACGAAAATAGGTCAGCTTAAGCAGCAGCATGCATAGGGATCCTCAAATCGAACGTTACACGGGCAGCAGCTTACCTCGTGCAAGTCGTAGAGAAGAAGATTAGTCATTTGAAGATTTAAAGACGTAAACCATCCTGCAGATGAAGAGAAAAATCGCAGATTAAACCGTCGTGAAATTTTTGAGTAGAGAGGATTAATGTTTCCTCTGATCTTTTGCCTTCATAAACAATTAGTAAATAATAGCACATATAAACAATGTTTATACAAATCTTATATACGCACCGCGATCGTCCCGTGTGCGGGTGTCCATAAAAACATCACGCATTAATTATTCTTGAGGTGTTATTAAACGTGGTCAAACGCTATCTAGCATTAACTACGTACACTTTCTACGCAAATTACTGAACACTGTATATTAAGATATTCACATAGATACACATGAAATAAAAAATGAAAAAACCAAAAGAAACTATAACAAAGATTGCTGTTGTATAGTACAAACTTTTCTACATAATGAAATCTGTCCATAATTTTTTCAGAAGAAATTGTTTAGCTATCGATCACGTTTCGTTTGTTCAAAGGTAACCGACGTGCAAAAGCGCACGTTATTATTAACCAGTTAGCAGTCTATTTTCACATAAAATGCACAATGTGATATAATATAAACTAGATAATAATAACAACAATGTATTGCATACTACTGCAATATAATCATATTTCTCACATTTGCGATATCGAAAAGGGCCTAAACCTTTTTCTTCGACACAGATCATTTGTTTCTTGTGTTTCACACACCATTTTTTTCTTGGAATTTATTGAATATCCTAAGTCATTCAATTGTCGTCTCGTGATCACTTAATTTCTTAGCAAGGGAAAATAAGTTTATACGATCCATTTTAATACTTGAATGACCTATGTATATATACAGGGTGGTTGGTAACTGGTGGTACAAGCGGAAAGGGGGTGATTCTACGCGAAAAAAGAAATCGAAAATATAGAATAAAAATTTTTCGTTTGAGACTTGGTTTTCGAGAAAATCGACTTTGAATTTTCGCTCGGTACGCGTGCACTTTATCACGTCTCGTTATAACGGATCTCACTGTAGATCGTTGTCTCGATGGAAAAATTAAAAAAAAAAATTTTTTTTCAAATTTTTATTCTATATTTTCGACTTCTTTTTTCGCGTAGAATCATCCCCTTTCCGCTCGTACCACAAGTTACCAACCACCCTGT